CTTTTTTTTAATTTGTAACATTTCAATGTTTATACACTTTAGCTCAATTGGAAAATAGTACATGTATTCTTCATCTGTATACATATTATCTACTAACTGATATTAAGTTTTAAATCTCAGAACTGGAAATATGCTTTGGTTTGCAAACGCAACTTGTCTTCCGCGTTCACTTTAATTCGGGTCGTTACGATGCGCCATGCAACTAAATGCATCTGAATGTAAACTATAATTATTTTCAAAGGTTTATTGCCTTGTAGGGGTAAACCTCGAGGCGCAAACCCATAGTAAGCAAAGCAAAAAATTATGCTTATTAGCAAAGTTGCTTTTCAACTTTGATCAATTGTACAGACGGCGTCGTCACGCAAACAAACAGTGGCAAATTAATTAATTATGAAGCGAATAAAGAAGTTCAAACACATGTCGTTCTTGCGACCAAAAATAGAAACAGTGCTGCACTAATAGCAGTATACCGGGTGTTTTTTTAATAAGTGTCCGATATTTTGCAAATGTTCGCAAGGCCTTAGTTATCGAGCATTAATCGAGGTGTTAAAAGATTAATTTTAATTTTAGTAAATAATACAAAAAGCAAAATTGACTATTTTCCCTCCAGTAATAAATCAGAAGTGAAGGATGTTACTGCTCTAAATTGTTGCAATATCAACAGCGATCACCGAATGGTAAGAGCCAAAGTAACTGTTAATACTAAGCTAGAACGAAGGGAGATTCTCAAGCAAAGAAACAAGTTCTGCCACCGCTCACTCTCCGTTCTTTCCAGATAATCATAAATTGAGTTTTCTTAACACTAAGTGTCAGGCCCTTTTCAACACTTGCTGTAACTACCTTGGTTAAAATTGGTTGCAGGTATTCTAGAGTTTGTACTATTAGGACCGCATTGTCGGGATACCTAATATTATTTATAGGCTTTCCGTTTAATTTTATACCTATTTCTTCTTCATTTAGCGCTTTTTTCATAATCTCGTCTTAGTAAATGTTAAATAGCAATGGCGACATCACCCACCCTTGTCTAACTCCTCTCTTAATTTGGACTTCGTCGGTTATATCAGTTTTTACTCGAACCACTGCTTTCTTTTGAGGAAATAGTAGGAAGTTGAGCTTAAATGAGTTTTGCAGGTCATGTGGCCAGAATACAGGAGGGACGATGAACCTACCAGGGCAAGCAAATCAGGGGATGCCCGCCAACGCGCTGACGATATAAAACTCACCGTAGGTTTGGCATGGATGAGGGCAGCACAGAACCCAAAAAGATGGAAACATATGAAGGAATCCAAAAATGGAATACCCAGAAAAAAGTATCGGAATTCAAATTTATTCTTTAAATTTCAAACCATTGCATTATTGATTCATTTGATTCATTCAAAAATATGAACTTTTATTGTTCTCTTGCGAATTTTATTGCTCTTTTATGAATCCAAGTTGTCGTTAAATCCAGGCTCTGTAACATTTAAAACAAAAATGTATAAATCATGGTATCAAACATGGTATAAGAACCTGAGTTAATGGAGAGTGTATGGTATACGTAGTCAGTTTCGTTTCAGCAAACTTACTTCGTTGATTAAACATTTGGTTAATGGGTGAATCCAAAACATTTAACTGCTTTAACTTACTCTTCTTTTGTCTTCGAGCTCGCTATAATAATGCTGGAATTTGAAACACTCATTGCAGAATGTGAATAGACAGAATTACCCCAACGAAAAATAAAAAACATAATCTTTTTGTTGATGCAACCAGGAATGACATGCGTTCAATGCACTTCTAACGCTCTAAGAGAAAAAGAAACGATGTATCGAAATGTCACAAAAAAATTAGACTTCTGACATACCAATGAGTTAAAGATCATATGAACAAGATGGTACTCGAACTGTTTATCGAAGAAAAACATTACACGATATATTGTTAATACTTAATTTTCAATCACAGTTCTTTGAAAAATACAGATGGTTTCATCAGTTATATCGGTTACTCAGACGGTTCCCCAAAAGAACCGGTTTCTCCTTCATACACGATCAATTCGAAAGCAGCTTTGAAGACGCCTGCGGATGGCACGATCAGGAAATCTTGTGCTCATCTTTGAAAAAAAATGTTTACTTGTAGAAACCATTAACTTGTTTTGCTAATTATTAAACGGCATTTTTTATAAAATAGATTTGACCACAAAACAACTGAAACTCATAATTTTGCCGACATAATTTCAATGTCTGACATCGTGTGCGCCTATCTATTTTGGTCTAGCAACATGTGACCGCCGTGCAGTAGTATTGAGTCGTCCAAATAGATTTACGATTTGGCATAAATATTTTCATATAAACAGCCAAAGTTGAATAACCCACGTGGTTGCAGTGCTGGTGGTCTCTGGATTGAAAATATATGACCATCTTTATTCGTACCGTTAAACGTTAACATCTAAGTAAGGTGTTTTGTATGAATGTTCCTTGTTAGGTTGTTAGGTCTTAATTCTTCAATTGACTAAATTCGAGACTTTCTTAGTGTTACCTATGTTTGCTAGCAGAAACGTTTTCCTTCTTCTCCCGTTGGGATATGGTACCATAGTGAGCTATGTTTTGTGAATTATTTCCATTTCTCTCATGTTGAGGGTCTCTAAAGCATTTACCAATTGAACCAATACAAATGACACAAACTATTTTATATTAAAGTCCGTATGCCCAGTTCATTATTTTCCATGGCCTTTGGTTCCTCTACTTTGACCCGTATTATTTTTCCAGTTTCTTTTTTTGGATGATACAACCAAAATTATCTTCTCAATGATGATTGTGTGCAGGATTCTTCAGGTTTCTGCCTCTGAGAGTCCATATAATTCTGAACATTCTCCTCTAACAAGGCATTTTAAATGAACTAATTTTGCACTTCTCCTTTCCTTTGCAGTTCAAGCAGAGAGACTGGAAATATGGCAATCTTCACCAGCATCGTACCTGCTTGCTTGTTACATCTCGACTTTTCCATATTTTTCCTATCGCGCTTTTAGCAATTACTGTCCGTGATTTTTATAATTCTTCCATCCAGCCTTCTATGTGAGCCATCAGGAACCCGGTTCATAAAAATTGCCTTACCATATCTGCGATATTTATCTTCATAATCTCCGGTTTATTGTTGGTGTTAGGTGTGTTAGTGATTTGATTTGGTTTAAAAAATTGCAAGAAAACTTCATTTTCAGGCTTAATTAATAAGATGAACACAAGGGTGAACTGAGCAGCAAAAGTAGCTTTCGAAAAGTTCAAATGTACAACCGGCAGGAAGAAAATAACAACAAATGTCGACAAAGGGAAAGTTTCTGTCCATTTTCTGTTCAATTAATTAATACTCTCCTTTACGTTTTAATCAATCAATTTCCAAGTGTTATTCTATAACGGAACATATTTTTTCACAAATATAATAGAGCGCTTTGAGGGAGTGGCTGACGGCATACGCCTGGCTAGCAGAAATAAACCTTGAAACTCACCTGGAATCAATATAGTATTGTTCCCATTAGAGATAACCGACAACGTAATGAATGAAAATCGACCACAAATTAACGCTCTTAATAATTAAGAGTCTTAGTATATACCGCAAATTGCATTGCTCAACCTGGTTTTTTTCTACACGTCTTGAAACCAAGAAATAGCGGTTCTTATAGCTTGATATCTAGTTCTAATAATTGGAAAAAAGCGTTAGTCTTTTAATCCCTTAGTTGGAGTTTTGGTATTTTATGTTTTGTTAGTAATTCTGTGTTTTTTTGTTGAAGCATAGGCTAAGATTGGGTAAGCGCTGAGATGTTGAAAATGGGGAGGAGAACAGCTAAGAGAGAACTTAAAAATTCCGTTAAATAAGTGTTTGATACATGGGAAAATTTGGAAAAATGCAGAAGTCATATTACTCTACCAAAATGGAGACAGAAATAACATAGAAAACTTTCGGCCAATCAGTTTGCACTCCCACTTGAACAAACTTCTTACAAAAATAACTATAAACAGACCCATTAAATTGGCGCATACTAACCTCTGGAACAGACCGGCTTTTGCAAGGGTTTCAGCACAATGGACCATCTTCAGACAGTACATACACTGATTGAAAAAAACACATTTGGCTTTCATTGCCAGAACGTTCGACTCTATTGAATCTTGGGCGATTCTGAGAGCGCTGGACAACGCTAGGATTGACTCATGGTACTTAGCTCTGATCAAACATATATATGACAAATATTTATATGCAAGATAAGTTATATAAGTTACAATAGAAGATATGAAAACATCGATTATTCCCATAAAGAGAGGAGTGCGTCAGGGAGATACGATCTCTCCGAAACTGTTTACTCTGACACTAGAGGATATATTTAAGGGCTTGGGCTGGCAAGATAAGAGAATTAATATAGACAGAAGGCGACTAAACCCTCCTAAGATTTGCTGATGACATTATCCTAATCAGGAATACACCGGAACATATCTAATATACAGGGTGATTCAAAATTGACGTCATTCCTATTGAGGGGTGATAGAGGCTCACTTGGAGAGTACCTACTAGAAAAATATTGGACAATTTTTTTTCGCTTATTTCTAGAAGATATTAACAGTTAAAAATCGAATTTGAACTTTGTTATGAAGTATTATTTTGAATAGGTCCTATGTTTGAGCGGTAACTTATTGAAGCAATTAAGCATTTCAAAAGACAAATTACCAATTTTGTCAGTGGGGTATCGAACACCCAGTATATCCCAGAATATTGCTGTATTATAAGTCAATACCACTCAGTTCCAATAAACAGCAAATACGGTCCTGATAATTTACCGTTTCATTGTTTCCATATTTCTTATTATTACAAGATCGTCTGATTAAAGTTTCAAGTCAAAAGTGAAGTTAAAATCAAAATCAATCAAATAGGAAATTAATTGAATAGTCAGTTTTCATATAATATAAAACTTTTGGCGGCTTTGAGTTATCGAAAGGAGAAGCTCAATTTTCCAAGAAAGAAAAACGTTGAAAGTTACTCACCAGAATTCGACCTGTGGTGGTTTGTCCAGAAATAAGCTCTCCAGCCCAGTCTTTTGCCTCGGTCATGAACGTGCCCTCGAACTCCTGCTTGCCCTGTCGGGCGGCTTTCTGTTCTTTTTGTTTGGGGTCGTTGGGGCCATACTCGGTTTCTTTACGGCAGCACAGAAACGCAAATAAACGCCACACCTAAATGAAGCAGAAAATGATATCAGAAATAGACAATAAAATAATATAAAGTTTTCTTTTGCACCACATTGCCTATACAGAATGTCTTACCTTTTAAAACTGTCGATCAACATAAATAAGCTTTGAAATGTTCCGATATTAGGTAAATATTGCACATCTTAGGAAATATATTTGTAAGACTACCGAATCTCATTTAGTTATTTTATATCGAGTATTTTCCAAAATGTCTATATCCGACAAAGCTCGTGTATAATGCCCTATAAGTACCCAGCCAGCATATTGGCGTCACATCGTGATTATCACATCATATTCTTCTCAGTCTCGTGCATGTGACATTTTTATTCATAATAGCCGTCCATAAGACGTATTGGGCCTAGTACTGATCTACGTTTTTAATTCAGCTTGAAAAGAGATAAGTGTAAGAAAAATTTATAGACCTAAATTGGACATTATCCATATCATATTCCAACAAATATTAAATCTGGTAATGTTTCTAGACAAGTTATTGACTACGTTGACGCGGTGTGAGTACAGGAAATATGGAAAAATTCCCACAAAAAAAACTACATATTCGCCAAAAACTGCATAAGAAGTTTTGCAACGGTGAATTTGATCACACCAGCAAATGGCGTTTTTCGCATTAACATTACGTAAAATCGTTTAGTTTTATACGTGAATCTACAAGACTCATTAAAGGACAAATAGAAAAGTTGGAATCATTCTACTGAGGCAACTATAAATTCGTTTTTTACAAAACTCAGGGTTTTAAAAGACTGCTCAAATTATTACTGGACTAAATGAGTATCTTCACTTCATATACTCATTTCACGTCATCATCATCATCAAGCTTTACAACCCTGGGTGGGTCTTGGCTGACTATATAACTTTCCTCCATTCGGCACGGTCTTCCATCAATCCAAATTAACATCCATTCATCATCATCCATTTCACATCATAAGTTTTCATTGTTTCGAATAAAAATTGGGATATAACAGCTTGATGTTAAAGCAAAGTTGAAGGAGAAAGAAGTAAGTTGTGGCCCTTCGAGAACTATTACTTAAGGTGGAATTTCTAAAGTTCACAAGCTCCCAAAATACTCCCCAAAATTTTCATTGATTGCCCATAATTGATTCGGGTCCTTGTTTCTCAGAAACTCAACACTGTCTCGGTCGTTGCTTATGAGGATTGCCGCCAATTTCATTTCCGCGGCCAGCGGTTAGTTGCATTTTCCCCGAGAACTTATATTCACTTTCTTGTAATAATCATGTTGTTTGTAATATACAACACGCTGTGTATTCCGAGCGTTTTTCATGTAGAAATGTTTAGCTTTATATGCTAATAAAGGACAAAATAAGGCCATACGCAAAAGCAAGTATCTCCGAAAAATCAAATATTTTTGAAAATATTTTCCCAGTACTTGTACATAGTCTCTTAAATGGTACAACGCCAATTCTGAATCATCCTGTATGCCTGAAATCGCATTGTGAAAATATTTGTAGGTTGAGGGTAAAATTGGAAAATTGAATAACGTCTATCCGTATGAAATCAGTCCGTGTGTCGAAATAAGAGGACTTTGATAAAGAAATAAAATGTTTATTGGTTAATACTGAAACGTTTTTCTGTTTTTATGTTTTGGTTTTACCGTAACCGCATTCCGTAATTTAATGTATTTCTATTCTATTCTATATTTAGTAGACACAACTTTGCATACTAAAGTAATATACTATAACTAAGTGACGTGTTAGATCCCAATACACAGTATTTTGATGGAAATTACTAAAATTATAAGGCTTTTTAGGTAATTAAACATGCTCGATTTTTCATCAGCGGCAATTTGAATGGTGAGGTATTATACTATGAATCGCAGAAAAGTGTAAGATAAAAAAAGAAGTTAAAAGTACAAGATGTTTGGTAAGTTAATACATTCCTTGCTGTAGTAGGTATAGTACATATAAGTAATTTTAGATATATTCTCTTAGTATACCATATACCGATTAAATACCTAAACTGTCATAGCAAAATTAAATGTACTAATATGAAAAACACTTAAAATAGTTGAATGAAAAGCCACAAATATTATGTGAGAGGTAAAAAAGTACCTACATATTTTCTGCTTTTTTTAAAATGTATGTACTCGTTTGAGCAATAACATTCTCTGACATTTCTGAAATAGGTCTTCAAATCAAAATTATTTTTCAAGTTGAAGAATAATTTATTTTATATTGAAGAAAGAAAATATTACCCGATTTGTTGCGTGCATAATCGAGTATGATTTAATAACTTAACTAACCTGGATAATGCACTCAATTAACTAATTATGATTAAATACAAAGTGGATTAATCACTTGTATCTTAAATTTATTTGTATATCGAAACCTAAGTGTTTTCAGAATGTGGCATTATCATAGCAAATATATATGTATATAAAAATACTCGAAAAACACTTGTACTGAAACGTTCTAGAAGCTATGGATTGACTGACTTACCGAAACACGCTGTATAGTAGCCACCTAGTTCACGCTATGTAATTCCACTAACATGTTTAAAGAAATAATGAAAATATGTCTCTTCCTACTCAACTCAGAAGTCATAGGCATTTCTAAAGCCATGAAGCAAACTTAAAAAAAAAATTAAATCTGATTTGGCAGCTGTTCCGTTATCGAAACTCTGATATATTTGCTAGGCTCCATTAAAAAGTCTTAATATTGGCTTTATAGAAAATAAAAATATATGCGCCAGATAAATTGAAATCCCATCAACTGTTTTGTATTTAACTACTGAACTTCAGAACCAACAATTTTTCAAGCCGATAAGTGTGACAAACTAAAATGATAACACTGTACAATTTTTTTACAAACTTCTTTTTGGGTATTTCGCCTCAAAAATTTTTGTCTTTAAAAAGACAGAATTTCCTCATGTCTTTTATTACAGATTGATAAATAGTGCTCCTATTTCGCAATAAGAACGAATTATTTATCAAAAAGTAATCAAGAACTATCACCTAGAGGGTATCCTGCGACACACTTAGGCTCAAGCTGTAAGAGAAAATTCCAATTAGTAGAGAAATTAATTTGAAAAATTACCTTGACGTTTCGATAGCTATTTTCTGCTATCGTTATTAAAAGAACCTAAATGAACATAAAAAAGAGTATGTTAATAAATTGTGTAACAATAGTAGGATAATACAATATATGAAAATTCGCTCTGATAATTCGTCTGTGCAAATTGTCAGTTTGTGACTTTGACTTGAAATTTTTGAGGCGAAATACCCAAAAAGAAGTTTGTAATAAAATGAATCCGCCTCAACAATATAGAACTTATCTACTGTACAATTTGCAGACATTTAAAATATTAAATCAGTCAAGTCTTAAAAAACAATAATCGATCGATTACTAATGATTGCATAGCTTGCTCCATAATAACCGTTGGGATTGAGCCAGGAAATCAAAATGAGCGAAATTAAACTTTGATATATAGATCGAGCCAGCCAATACGAATTATATGTTTCTGATATTAGCAAGTTGTTTTGCAGTAAATTAATTTCTTATAAATAACTTTTTATATGCTAAATAAAACAACACTAATAGCTGAACATGTTACAAATAAAATATAAGCAATTTATGGAGATCTCAAATAATGACGTGACTGGTATGAATAAAAAAATATTATATTGCGAATGCTTTTAGTCTATTTATCTATTCGATGAACATCCGCAAATATTTGATGATTATTCGCAACACATTCGTATGTGACGAGAAGGTTTAAAAATCTAGAAAAATGTAAAAGGAGTTCACTTCTACAAATACACTGATCTGTTCAAGCGAATAATATGAACTATATGAAGAAGATGAAAAGGCTGAAGTTGAATTAATATTTAATTTTCTAGGCTCAATCCGCCTCGGAGTAAAATAGGCGATCCCACTCTTCAGGGCATTTTTTTTTTAATTTTAAGTGCTAAAATATAAATCATCTGAAGATTCGATTGAATTTAGACTGGAATATTTTGAGCAATTCAAGATGTTACCTATTAGATTCAGCAAAAATATGAAATGTATAAAAATGATAAATCTCGTCTTTCTAATCAAGAAAATAGATTCAAGTCTAAACATTAATTTAAAATGTATCAAGAAAAGTTTTACCACATGCAATAATCATTAATAAAAAAACACGATGTTTCCCTTGGGCATGATAAGACTGGAATAAATGCTTCAAGTTTTACGTAGTACGTATAAGTATAAATATCATTTGATTTTGCCTGGTTTTGCATAGAAAAAAGTTGTTTAAATTTTTCTTGCTACTAAGTTTCCATGGTTTTTTCATTCTTAGTCCTTGCAATGTGAAGGTATCAATATATTTTTTTAATTAAAATTGGGAGAGTTGAGAATGAGTGACGATATAACAAGTGAAATTTGTGATAAGCCCATTGATTTTCCTAAACATATTTTTTGATGATGTGATTTGTGGCTGGCAATTTTAATAAGTTTCAATGCAATATTTACGCGGAATAAATCATAAAATAACAGCAATTTTAGTTCTAAACTGTTTGTGACGTCTTCTGAAAAATGTATCTTTCTGCACCTTTTCGAGGGACGGTCACGATATCTATTATGTACATACAAATATTTTCTATTATCGCTATTATATTTTCTATTCATTGTAAGCATTTAATTATTTTGCTGCAAGTTACAAGTGAATTTATTATGTCACCGAAGCAATTAGATTAAAAATGATGTGCTGCAACGTATCGGTAAATAATCCCAGACGAACAAATTATGTATTCAATTAATATAGATAACTCTGAGCCCCTTCTTCAAAACAAGGCGATAACAGAAGATTATAGGATTTTTTACCACAGGCCCAAAGCCATATACAAAAGGTATTATAGAAAAAAATAACTAATACTCTAAGCACTAAATTGGATTTGGACTTCCCGAATAACAAAGTGGCTTTAAGGAAGGAGGTTCATCATAAGACATTGAACCTCGATTGCAAATAAGACATTTTATGGTTTCTCACAACCATTGGTTTTCGGTGGCCCTACATACAGTCGAATCTTTAGCACCACCACATACATGTATTTATGTTAGCAATATTATAGCAGATCAATATTATTATTAGAAGACCAAGGTTTCAACGTCTGATTTTTTAAAGATATCTGCTCTTTTGCATCGCAAGTTTTACCTAAAGTTTCCTATGCCTTTTCCAAGACATATTAATTGATTAATTATTTTTTATGTACAGGGTAATTTAGAAGTAAGAGGACGAACCAAATTTCAGAAAGTTTTGAAAACATGACGCAAAGCAACGGTTCTGGGAATATGGAACTTCCTACTTTCTATTACCTGCTATTTTTATTTTACTGGTATTTTCTTTCCTATAACCGGCAGTGTAAAAGAACTTTAATATTATTTTATTATATTAATTAGCATTTTTGCAAGCACATCTACATTACGCACTCTGTTCATCAAGGATATTTTCAACATCCGTCGATGCCAAAGCCAATTTCCAAAGCTTCCAGCTTTGTTGAGTCCACGCCTCAACTGCATACCAGATAATTCTTAAGAGGTACCAGCGTAGTACTCGAGTGCAAACCGAAGGGGCAGACTTCGGCAACACAACACTGACTTGATTTTTCCAAATGATGTTCTGGTTTGATCAATTCGGGCATGAACCTGCTGTATATTATCCCAGATATGACTAAGCGCGTTCGATTTGTTCCTTTTGTACCCGTAAAGTACCTCCTCCAACTTGGTTCTTGTTAGTAACCATTCTTTTGGTTCTATTGGTGTTGAAATTTAATCCAAATTTGCTATTAGTTGCCACCTTTTCAAGAAGAATATGAAACCCTTCAGCGAGTCCGCGATTATAACGATGTCGTCAGCGTACCTAGGATTGTGTATCGATTTCTAGAAATTCCTTAAGGGCAGCTTTCCAAGGAGTTTTGGAACATTTTGTTTCAGTGTATTTTAAAAAGTAATGGTGAAAAGATCTAACATTGTCGGACACTCCTTTCAATTCGAACTTAGCCTGATATCTGATTCTTCTTAATTTGTACAGTTTGGTTTTTCAAGTCGCTATGGTCCAGACCTACGTTTCTAAGGATATTCTATGCTGTTATAAGCAAGGACAAGTTTTCCACAGGGCCCAATAGCACGCTGTCGAAAGCCTTCGTAGTCTATGAAATAGGCATCAACCGGAACATACAGGGTGGTCTTTTAGTACAAGAGAGTCCATTATTTCCGTTGGTGTTGAATTTTCGAAAAATAGTTTCAATGAAAACATATGAAATGATACAGAGTGTCAGAAAAGCGAGGCAAGATCAAAGTGTATTTTTGTAAATAGAACTACTAATGCTATGAGATAATCAAAAATGGGTAGTTCTATTTAAAAAATACACTTTGATTCTGCCTCGTTTTTCTGAGACACTCTGTATCATTTAAAATATTTTTAAGATGTGCGTCAACAACTTTTATATGAAACTATTTTTCAATAGTTCAACACCAACGGAAATAATGGACTCTCTCGCACTAAAAAACCACCTTGTATACATCCCTGCACCTCTGAACCGACACTTGTATATCATACAGGGCTTCTCTTATGCCCTGTGTAACTTCGTTACGAAAACCAAACTCAGATTCGCGCATAAAAGACTCACATTTTGCATATATTCTCTTATGAATTATCTTTAGGAAAATCTGAAGACTCGCCAAGCTGATATTCCGATAATCGCTACATATTTCTGCCGAGCCCTTTTTTGGAAGCTTTAGTTGAAGTTGATTAAAGCCAGTCGGAAGGAGTGAAGCCCGATCGAAATAACATACAAAATAGAAAACGTCCTGTACAATTATAGCAAATTATGTTTTATTACTTAGCATTTGATCAATGCTCATGGTCAGGTCTTCGATACCAACACGTTTAAGTTTCAATACTCACCAGAACAATGCATAATCCGGCGAGGAACGTACAGATCGAAGAGAGCAGAAAGCACCAGTACTTCCGGGTGTCCAAGCAGGCTTCTGGACGTAGGGTGGCATCGACAAGGATATTAAGGGTGGCGTCGGCCGCCACTAACGTACTATTGAGAGCGGGCGAGGACGGCCTGGCGCCGCCCGTCGCGTCCTCGGACGTCATTCAGTCGTTCGCGTGGACATCTAGGGTGCCGGTAGCCTGACTCACCAAAGTAGCAAATGTCGGCAGTACATTGGAATTAGTGCCTGCAAGTTCACTTTCATTACTAATGATAATAAATACATTTGGTCGACTTACACAGGATGATTCAAAGTTGGCGTCATTCTTTTTAAGGCGCTATAGAAAAATACATATTTTTTAATTTCTTGAAGATATTAACAGTTGAAGATCGAATTTGAGCTTTGTTACTAAGTATTATTTTTCAATAGTCTCATCTTTGATTGGTAGCCTATTAGAATATGTAACCGCTCGAAAAAAAAATTACAATTTTTGCTTCAAATTACGAAATTAACGAACGGAAAACAAAATGCGAAAAAATAAAAAAATACTCTTCTACACTTTTTTGATGGATAGTCAAAGCGACAATGATGTTTTTTGTCATTAATAGATAATTACAACTTAATTGTATTTTACTTGATCGATATTGATCATTGATGTATGACCTTTAACAGGAGGTCTCTGATTACAGCTGTGACGGATTTAGGTATATCACTCATTTGCCCCTTTAAGGTTGGCAGCACTGACGGCAAAGCAACAACGTTATATTAACCTCAAAATACTTAATTGTAATTTCACAGAAACAGGAAAACAGCTCCAGAGGAATGACGCCAATTTTGAACTACCCTGTACAGAATGTTCGCTAAGGTGACTTTAAGTTCAAATTGTTATTTTTATGTTGCATGAGTTGTCAACAGTTTATGAAATATCGGGGTATGAGGAGCACCGAGAGAACTTATAACTATACAGGGTGCTTCAAAGTTGGCGTCATTCCTCTGGGGGTGCTTAAGGTGAACAGGAAAAATTGTAAAAACATTATTATTATCAAAAAAATATGTACAACGCTAGATCAGAAATTATGCAACAATGTCTTTCAATGTAATCTGCATTATTAACATTACGTAAAAACCTGTGGCTTCGCTTTTTAATATACACAATTTTCATAACTTGCTTAGGAATGCTTAGGTATTCCAATGGACTACCAATCAAAGATGAGACAGTTTCAAAATAATACGTAATAACAAAGATGAAATTCGATATGCATCTGTTAAGAATATCTCTAAGAAATTTTCGAAAAAAAAATTTTCCCTATTTTTTGTACTTTCCAAAACGTACTTCCACTTAAACGGAATGAGAATTTTGATTCACCCTGTATAACACGTTACTCGATTTCCTCAAAGTTTACTCACAAAATAAAAAATGCATTCGTACATGAAAGAGCAATACATATAATGGTTTACAAGTAAAAACCCCTAAAAAGGAAAAAATATGAAGGGAACCAGAAAATAATAATATTTTTGCAGACGTCAGATACAAAACGCAACGGATTTCTGGTAAATATTTTAAATTGTTTAAATTAAATCACCTACGTTTTAGCGATGTTTCAAATGAAGATTTTGCCATGTTACAACTCTACAAATTAAACCGGTGTATCTTTAGTAAAATGTGTCCCTAACCGTGTATCAGTGTTTTGCTACACGATGTGCAACGATGTGGTAAAGGGGACTAGATGATAAAATTTAATCCGAATCCGCGATTTTTGGCACGTTAAGTCGGAAACTCATGTTTAAGTAGTTTTCTTACTTTGACGCATTTTGAAGTGTGATTCACTCAGCTTACAACTAAAATAATAGTACGACATTTTATCGCAGGCATTAAATGAATGATACCCAAGTGTTCCCTATTTTAATTGAATTTAAACCTGAAAATAAACGAATATATTTTATAAGTTCTATAAACTCGGTTTTCTAGCCAGTTAAATGGTCTGTTTGAGCAACAGTGATTAAAAAGTTCTTCGTTCAGGAAATTTGAAAATGATTTGGAATACTAACTCAGGTGATATTTTTTACGTTTAAATATTCTCAACAATGCAAATTAGAGTAATTAGAATTCTTTAGTGTTCGTTCATTGCAGTTTAAGTGTGCTACACTACAAAATGTCGAGAAGATTAAACAAGTGCAAGTTAATGTAAACTAATAAAAGAATGATTTTTGAATGGGTTATTAGACTTTTACGATTCAAGTTGTAGCCAAAGCACTGTGTTGTCTTATATACATACAAAGGTATATTTTTTCAGATTTAGTTAGATTTTTTAAGTAAAATAAAAAACATAATTTTTGAAATATTTTTTTCGTTACGTCCCCATACTTATAAATGCCTAGCCATATTTTGAGAAATTAAGAGCTTTTTTAAAATGCCTGCCTTCGGGAGTATCGCTGTTAAGCTAAACCCAACTGCCGAGAACTAATGGGCTTCAAACACTCCTGTGGGGGCTTGCTTGTGCATAAAAACCAACAATATTTGCCAAACATCTGTAGCGAACATTATTAGTTCTTTTTTAAAGTTACATGATTTTTACGATGTTATCTCATGCATTTGGTCTGATAATAATAATATTCTGATTACTTTAAGTTGGGTTAAAGCCACTCTACTTCATATTTGATTTTGTAAGTGATTTCAGACTTGTTTCAGGAAGCGCAGAACCTAATAAAGTTTTAAACGAATACGGTGAGCAGGAAATTTTATAATTTATATTTTTCATCAATTAAAATAATTCATAAATTTATCTTGGATTCGATATCATACAGTCATCAGTTAGAATAGTTTGAGTTATTAGAATGACGATGATCCATGTTATTGTTTACCTTATCAAATTGTAATCGTATTTGCATTTTTCTGCCTTAATGTGAGTTCTTACATACTTATACATATTTGAATTTTTTTGTTCTTGTTGGGCCTTTCAGAAAATTAAAATAGTAATACCAATAGGATGATTACTAGCAGGCTTCAGGAATAAGATATACACAGAGATTGTGGCTATAGAAGTCATACCTTATGTTCAAACCATCATCAACGATTTTTTGAGTACGTCTATTTTAGTGTATTAGCAAAAGTACTCCATATTAATATCCAATTCTATTTTGATTATTTTAAAAAAATCTTCAAGTCTTCAAGAAATTGTAACCCGAAACTTGCATTGTGGACTTTAGTACTTAGGTACTAACGGGGTGTCGATTAAAATCCACTTAAAATATCAAAATTCTTAAATATTTACTTAGTAGTAGTAGAGTGTGACTTTACCTATTTGAGAATTTTAACAAGACTTTAAATTAGCTTAAATTCTAATGGGCTTTTATAATGTTTTTTCGATGGTCTCCTCTTACCAATCTAATAGTTTTTTTGAAATAACTTTTTTAATAGTTGGTGTAAAAAAATACAATAAACAGTTGATATATGGCTAGTAGATTATAAGTATTTAGTTTGATACAAACATAAATAACTTGCTAAAAATATCTTCTGTACTTCCTTAATGTTATGTTATTAAGCAAGAAATTTTATTTCCTATGGCAGATTTTGGCAAAGATTTTAAAATAGGTATTCTACATTTTTTTGCCAAAAATGACCTGCTTTGTACATGCTTGTACATGTACAAATTTAATATATTCTTCTACCAAGCGCGGTTCTGTTTGCAGATAGTTTTTTAAGAAAAAATATGTTAAACGGTCCTAAATTGTCCTGCCATTCAATTTTCCATAAACGTTTTTATTCGTTTTAGGATTGATAGAGGTTGTTCAGCCATATAACACACCATATTAAGTTTTATTTAAGTTGGAACCATGGAGTAATAAAAGAATTGCGTTTCCGTTTTTCCACTACAGAAATATAGCGATAAGGTAAATAACAGGAAGAAAAGAGGGGAGAAAAGAATTTATACATACAGATAATATTAGTTTTATTTGACTAAAAATCCAAAAACACAAGACTAGCAACCGATAAAACATAGTATGACCATCCGTCAATTTCCGATTTTCTGATTCAGAATTATTTCATTTTAAAATGTGGATATTAATCAACGAAAGCATTTCAATTATAAACAAAATTAAAATGTGTTATTGATTGTGTACTGCGATTTGCTTCTGAGGAACTTAGTATGTATAAACAGCTAATAAAACGAACATATATAAATCTGCAAAATGCAGGAACTTATCAGCAGTACGACATATAATAACGTAATAATTCTTGAAATCCTATGAAATCATCTATACATAATTTATAAGAGCTGACGATTGAGCTGATGCAATAATGATTTAGAATTCATAGCGAGTATAACGAATGTAATAATCAAGTATTCTTACTTGTATGTATTAAGCTGCACGCACATCTTCACGTGACAAATATTTTTACCAAACTCCCTAAAAGCGTTGGGAATATGGTAATTGAGATAGACTAATCGACAGGTACTCACCCACTCTTTGTTTTTGTTAATGACAAAGCTCATCGTCACTCTTGATAATGTTAAAAATATTCCATGAGTCAAAAGTAACCGTGTTTATAGCAAAATGTGATTAAAGCCCATAATTAAAATTCACACAATTGAAAAAAAACTGATGACTTAGTTTCTACATTTCGTTCATTTCTGTTTCTATCAGTCGCAATGGAAAAGTTTAATAATATTATTTTATTCAATTAATTTGTTATTCGAAAAATAATTAATATAATCTTCCTAAAAACTTTATAAAATATCTCTATAGGAGCCATTTTTTAATTTCAAATTTTTGTTTTGCGTATTGTTTTAGGCGTGTTCCGTTCAAAATGGTCAAGCTAGTAATTATTAGCGGAAACCGGACGTAAGCGCAATTCTTGAACGTTTTCTATTCCTTAATAATTGAAGAGGAAGCCGCAAACATTTGGAAGTGTTTCCCTGAGCTAAACTTATGATTTAAATTCAAATTGAACGCGTTCAAAATGTAAATATTGATTCATTGTCACCATTAGAAACTGCGGCCGAAAGAATCGCACTCCAAATATTATAAAAAGTCAAAGAAATATCCGGATTCGTACATGGTAACCTAAAATTGAGTTGCATAATTTTAGCCGCATATTCTACTATTAAAAATAAGACTAACAGTTCATATAAACATGGGCCCGCAAACGTTTCGTTTACGACATACAGTCAGGTTTAATGTTTTATTATGCATTTTATAGATTTGTTAGATTTGGTTTAAGTCCATGTTATTTTAAACTGTGTTTAGTTTCGTTTTGTAATTTCTTGATTTAAAAATGTTCGTTTTTATATTATAAATTTTCTTTGAGACGCGGGTTTGCATTATTACCCAATCACAGTTCGCATCATACTAAAATGACTCCAGAAGGACAGATACGATAATATGTATAAGGAACAAAAAAGCTTCCAAAATAGAGAACTCAAATGTTGAAGGAAAATTACTCATAGCGTTTCACAAAAAAGAGATTCTTCTTCTTTCTAATATGGACACATATTAGTGGGCTATTGCCTGCTTTTTGCCAACATGTCCTCTCCGGAGGATGAGGTCCGATATTCTCTCCAGTGCTCCGGTGGTCTTTCCTGTGGTATCCTTCCTACTGGATTGTTCATTTTTGCGTTTTCGGCGAGGGTGTTGTTTTCCATTATGTCTACATGTTTGTTCTAGAATCTTCTTCTTCTCTGTCTCGCCCATCTCCCTATGTCCTCTATCCCGCATTGTATTCTGATGTCCTCATTTCGTACTCTATCGTATGGAGTTTTGCCTTGTATGCTCCTTAAGGTCTTCAATTCAACTGTTCTGCTTTTATCTGGTCTTGTTTCTACTGCATATGTTATTATATGTCTTACTGCCGTTTCATATATCTTGACTTTGCTTTCCGCATTTAGGAATCCGCATCCTATTTGTTTTTCCTAACATCCCAAAATTCGAACCGCTTTCATTGTTTGCTCTCTTACATCGAGAGGTAGATTCCCATGGCTCGTTATATATGCTCCCAAACATTTGAAATGGTTTACTTGTTCGACGATCTTGCAGTCGATTTCCAGCTTGTACCATATATCGGTACCTTTTATATTACTAAACATTTAATCTTCTCGGTGTTGATGAGCATATTTAGTTCTTTTGCTTTCGTGTTAAAAGAATGGAGTAGTCTTTGGAAGTTTTCGTCGGAATTTGCAATAAGAGCCGCATTGTCAGCGTAGCGTACGGCATGGAAAAAAGTACTTCCCATTTTGTATCCCGCCGTTCTGGGAAGATTTTCTATTATTTTATCCATTATCACATTAAAGATGAAGGGGCTGAGTGAGTCTCCCTGTCTAATTCCTATGTTTACGTATATATCTTCCGTTTCAATGTGACATACTCTAATTTTTGTTCTGCATTGGGTGTTTATGTCGTGTATTAATTAAGCAGTCTGGTGTTCAGCCCTTTTGTTCTCATTGTTTCCAGGGCATCTTTTAAGTGCATTGTGTCAAAAGTTTTAGTCATATCGATGAAACACATGTATGCGAGTTTATTGAATTCTAGGGACTTTTCAGATATTTGCTTGGCTATGAATTATGCATCTATTGTGGATTTGTTTTTTCGAAAGCCTTGTTGTTCTCTTATTCTTATGGTCTTGGTGATTTCCCTCAGAATCGTCCTTGTTTATATATATATTTTATTTTATTCCTTTAGAATACTTTAAGAGCGCTATCAAGTAGGGTTATTTCACGATGCTTTTCTGGGAGTGCTTTCTGTCCTTTCTCATAAATGGGCATTGTTATACTGTTCTTCCATTCGTTTGGTATTTTCTGTTCTTCTAGGATATTTTTAAATAGGGTCTGTATTTTATTTTATAATGGTTTGCCTCCGTATTTAAGCATCTCGTTAGTAATCTCGTCTGCTCCGGGACTTTTTCCATTTTTAAGGGATTTTAAGGTGTTTTTAATTGCATCATGACTTGGGGTCAATTGTTAATTCTATGTCGTTGTTTTCTTCATGACCGATTTTTGTCTATTCCTTATCTTCCTCTTCTTCTTTCTTGCATAGATCCCTAAAGTGCGTTTCCCAATGTTCAGTCGTGATTTTATTGGTTCGTCTAGTATATTTGCCTTCTAGCATATTTCCTCTCAGCATTCTCCGTATTTTGCACTGGCTTCCTTATTAGTTTCTTTCCATTCCTTTTGTGAACTTTTCCCTAATATATACTTTTCACACCCTGTATCTCGTATTATTGGTCGTAGAATATGCGGCTAATCATATACATCCTAATTTAGAGTCACCCTAGGTAGTAAGAAAAAATGTTCATACGGGTGAAAATAAAACCGTTCTCAAATGTTCTTATACCTTATGTGTTATATGCAATTTTCCTGCCTTAAGAAATCTATAAGAAAATTAGGACTAAATAAACTGCTTCTGCTAAGAGATTGAAGTTACCCTGTATAAACATATTTTGCAAATGTACAAAATTTTCAGCAAGCATCATGTTTTATTACAATAGATGTTAATTGTAATTTTGCTGCTAAACGTTTATATATTGAATAATTCCTTTAAATTTCGAATATTTTCTTTTTAATGTGCATCCTAGTTGGTTTCGAACATTAAAAAGGAGGCACTCTTTCCTTTCGCAGATTTTAGGACAATTTGTACGGTATTGGATGCGGCAACTGCGAATAATCTTAGTAGATCACAATTCATAGCAAAATTTTTTTTATAGCAAAATAATGTTTTATTTAATGATGTATTGCCCATTCTAGTCCTATGCCTTCAAGTACCGATACAGGAGTATCTCGAAAGGAGAAAATGAGATTTTTTACCATTACCTATGAAGTAAATCTTTTACCGTCTAAAAAAATGGGTAGATAACAGAACAAGTAAATGTGGTGGGTGTGGCAGGATATCCCATCCAAGCTGCTCGTTCAAACTGTCCAGCCAAACAGAAAACAGGACATTTTCATGTTTTTTAAACTATGATCTACTTGGACGTAATGGCATCACATTTTTCGTCCCAAGCTTGAAAAATGAATCATTTACTTGAAGTTTGAGATTGCAAATCGCAGACGTCCAAAATGCCATGGCGAAAATGTATTTCCATAAGAACAGGAAGAACGCCTAAGTCGAACTTTGTGCAGTTTTAGCGTTTTAAATAATCACAAACTGTCCAATTTACAAAATTTAATCTCTAGTTATTTAAACGAGATGTTGTTGGATGGTTTGCCTCAATGAATGCCTTTATCAGCGTTAAGTTTCCTTGCAGAATATGGTGCATTCTCAACTCGCATTTTGCTAACCTGTTTTCACACTGGCTTTATGTCTGCATACATATAAAATATTTTCGTATGCTTGAACAGAATTTTCGTCTTTAATAAAGCAAAAAAGTGCAATATGCCAAAAGATCGCGTTTTGCTTTCCATATTTGAACGCGTACCAACCAGGATCAACCGCGTAGATTCAATCAAACTATCCCGCAAGTAAATTTTGGTTATCGAAGAATGAGCTTTCAAAATATTTTCTGATCATGCGGTTGACGTGTCAAGTTGGCTCTACAAGTTACAATAAAGTCCTCTGCTGATGCTGATGACGAAACTTTTCAACCCTGTATTCTAAAGTGTAGATGGAGGTGGTAGAATGGTAACCAATGATTTTTCTAGTTATGAACTTTGTGATTAACTGCTAAAAGCTTGCCACTATAAACTCAGTAAATGTATACCAACTACTACATTTTTTTTATTGTGTAGATAACGAATCTCAATTATCAATTTAATCCACTATTTGCTAATAGCGGAAGCACAAACCGTACGGTAATGTATGTGTTTTGGCGTAAAGAGAGACATTAAAAATAAACCAGACTTATTAGTTTTTAGGTTCCACCGTGCCTTCAAGGCCCCTTAGATGTTATTTCCGTACAACCTTGGAGTCCTGTGTTATTTAAAAACAATAATTTGTCTAACGGATTAACAAAATCATAGTATATTTCTGAAAAGTAATGTTTACTCATAGTCATTGCAAATCGCAATGGTTTTTTCACTAAATGCAATAAATTAGAATACCTGTTTATTCGAACGATATCTCATGAGTTCATCCAAGATCAATTTGTCTTGTACGGCTCGGTAAGCCACGAATTATTTACTAATTACAAAAACAATTAAACATGGTCGGAACAAATTCTTGTCGGTATAACAAAAAATATCTCAATTTCCTTTAATGAATGCAAATCGATCACGTTTTTGAAGGGAAGTCAACAGAAATAACATCTGAACTATAGAATATTCTATTGTATATGTAGGACCATTGAATATATCTGAATTAATAACTGATTTAAAGTTTTATAAGCACTACGATCAAAGTTTTGCCAGGCTTAGACAAACCTTTGATAGGTTGAGCGACTATACTAAATTTTCCATGATTGACCTCATTAGAATTTTATTTTATAGAATATAGAATTTATCGATACCGAACAGACTCAGAAACATTCGCGTTCCCGTAAAAGTTTTATTGCACAACTACCCTTTTCTTGATCTATAACTTCTACTAAGAGCGATTTAAACAAATTCTTCAAATACTCACTGAAATCAGAAATTCAAACCAACATCATCTTGGGCTCGGAACTATTGATCACCAATGTCTTTCTATTGTTTGATTTTTTTTCACATTAATTGAAACAAGCAGAAATTTGCACCTTGCACTATCGCGTTGTTATTGGCCAGTCGATAAATTCTGATATTATCACTAACTTTTAAATAAACTTTCGAAACGAAAATCGAATCGCGACTGAACGGAAGCCCGGCTGTTAGAGCGTCGAGACGCCGGCGCGACCCGCTGCGGCAAATCAATGTGTTGGCGAAGTTGGGCGACGCGCCATGCGGTGACAGTTTCACTCGGTTTTACACTAAAACAGGCCAAATATTTCCAATTTTAATATTTTGTAACTAAAAATATTATATTTATATGAAAATAGTCAGCAGGGAACCAGCCCAAAACTCGTACGGGAACTAATCAGAATTTAATGCATGCAGTAAAAATTACAGTCACCGCAGAGATAAGTTGGCGCATATTGTGCGTAACTTTTTAATTACCTGATTGTCCCAAATATAGGCAGTTTTGGTTCAACAGTGTAGATAATCTTAATAGATTAGGAAGGATACATTTTTTAAATAAAATATGTCCTAAATTCTACGGAAAACTCAAACATTCAATAATGAGACAACATATTCCATATTGTATCCGTTCTCTCCTACTGGTCATAGATTATTTCAAATTCGGGTGTAAGCACGAATTATTTTACATATCCAAGCTCGAAAAAAATAATTCAAATTGTTCGAAGCAAAATACAGTGAGCAGCAAAACGAGTCAACTGGTTTTGAATTATTGTATTGAAAATCCCTAATCCGCTAACTGGTGTTAGGTACATATGCGCTGCAGTGCAGCAAGGCTCCCAAAACATAAAAACTTTAAAAAAATTATGTTTCTATCTATGTACTATGTATGTTTCTATCTATGTGCCAAAAAAATGCAAGCCAGCAAAATCATAATCGAGATACTGAACGAGAAGCTGAATAATTTCCTCGTCAGACAAATACCAGATAAACATACTGGATTTGTTCCAGGGAAAGGTACTCGAGAACAGATATTGAGCCTTCGACAGATCATGGAAAAAGCCAGGGAGTTTAATGTTAAAATGCTCGTGTGTTTCGTGGACTACACGAAGGCTTTTGACAAGGTAAAATAGGCGAAGCTCTGGAACATTCTGGCCGAGGGGAACACCGACACATCTGATACACCTAGATAGAAGTACTATATAGGTCAAACACGGCGACGGTACGAGTCTCTTTGACACTTTTTCGACTATTGCTGGGTGGAGACACGGCTGCATTTTATCTCCTCTTCTATTCAATATACAGGGTGTTTGGTAAGTAGGATTTCAAGTAAGTCATTCCTTGCAGGAGGTGATAGTGCAAGTGATTTTGGAGAGAGCATGTTCCGAAAACACCCGATCTACAGGGTTTCAAAGTTTTATTTAAAAAAATGTTATTTATTAATATTGTGGAAACCGCTTAAAATATTTAATAATATATAAATAATCTTTATTTCCTACAGAAAAAGGCTATCGACCCAATCGGTCTTTCAGCCCGAAACATTTTATTTGTTTTAATTTTAATTTTACAGGATTAGACACCTAACAGCAATACGTGTTTCGTGAGAAAAAAATTGTTTCTAGCTTTTCCAGTCGCGTGGGCACAGGCACTTCTGTTGATTTTAAATAAAAAAATGTTACGCCACTGATTTTTCAAACAATAAAAATGATGGCTCAAATTCCTGTTCAGTTTGGATGAGAAAAGATCTCTTGACTTTATTAGAAAGTTGGCTCTGCTAGTTTTTGTCACTGATTAACAAAATTAATAATTTCTGTCATTTCAAGTGTCGATTATCTTCAGTTATTGTCACCTTATTTTTGCGTTTTACGTAATTCACATCAGAGTGAGTTCACATTAGTTGAGAGTCTTATTTTGTATTTCATATTGTGTATTCAGCGTTAGAAAATGCTGAATACGCAGATATTATTTACATTTATGGACTTTGCGACGGAAAAGCTAAAGCGTACTAAAGCGCACCGCGAATATAAGCGTTGATTTCCAAACAGGAGTCTTCCAAAAATCCGTATCTTTGCAAACACCTATCGAAGGGTCAGGGAGTCATAAAAAGTGCAAGGCACACAAATTCACGAAGGACCTCCGGCACATTACGGCACTAATGACGAAGAAGCCATTCTTAAGGTTTTTCAAGAAGATCCGACGACGAGCGTACGCGTCGCGACTTGGAGGACTCAAATTTTCTCAGTAGAATTTTATGGACCAATGAATCAAATTTTAATCGAGCGGATTAGCAACTTACATAATGCTCATTACTGGCCCAAGAAAAATCCCCGTTTAACGTCGAACCGTAATTACCACAGACGGTGCAGTGCTAATGTTTGTGTGGTGTAATAAACGATCAAATAATCGGGCCACATTTTCTGCCAGAAATATTAAATGGGCAAAGATACGAAGACTTTCTTATTAATTACCTGCCACCACTGCTGGAAATTGTGCAGCTAAATATTCGTCAGAACCTGATATTCGAGCATGGCGGATGTCCTGTAGATGATCGGCAAACTGTAAGGAACTACCTTGACCAGCGTTTTCCAAATCGATGGATGGGGAGGGGAAACCCAGCAAAGTTTTCTGAAAGATAAAGCTGAATATATTAATTTGTTGTCATGGCATATCTTCTTTTGTTTGGATCTTGAAAGCTTAGATTGGAGGGTCCGACTTAAGTTCTGTAGGAAACCCTTTCACTTTTTCTTCACAGATACAGTAGTTCACAGTACAGAATGTATTAATTTGTAGAGGATTTTTCATGCAATACGACTAATCGTCTTTGATCTCTTATCGATCTTTATTCGTTCGACAAAGGGGGGATATCTACCGGTACCAATCATCACGTAATCAGCTGCACGTCCTAAAGTGGCAACTTTAGTTGAAAGCGATGGTAAAAATAAACGTGAATACACAGGGTGATTTACATAGATCGTGCATTAGAACCTTTTCAACTTGCAGTTTTTTTAGAAACTGTAACTTTTGCTTCCAGTCACAACGAGTCGTGCCGAAACCATATAAAATACATTTCACCCTCTAGCTATACAGGGTGTACGAAAACTAAAACCTAACTTTATTATTTTAAATGCAAACCTAATTTATTTAGCATGGTTGGATTGGCCTTGCAATTGCGAGTTTGGTTCACCCTAGTTTTGTTAACTTGGCTCTTATAGTTTTTGATATATGTCAATTGTTTAAGAAAAACATGCCGATGACGATGTTGATTTGGTTTGACTATGTCAGATTGTTTGTTGATGATATAATCCATTCTTTTCCCAAAAGTTAATGAAGAAAAATGAAACTACCAGGTACTTACATAAAAAAATATCGAATTTTTATTATCTTCTATGTATACCCTAGGACATAATTTAACATATACACATTGCAGTCAATAACACTCATCACCTATTGCTAGAAGGAATATTATCAAATAACGTCATTAAATCGCTTTTCAATCTGGCTGCTCTCAATTCATTAATGCTGTTTAATCGGCCATAAATACTTTTACTTGGCGCTTTTCGGGGGGTAGCTGAAATCGACCGGAAAGCTGCATTAATAGGCGGTAAAATTAGCAACTTAGATGGTTTATTTCGATCAATTTGTCTTCCACATTGTGCTTTGAGGGGTGTGGTAGCAATAAACGGCAGTGAAGTACATTCTGGAGAAACATCGCCCACTAATTCCTTCGAATCTTGTCTCGGATCTCGAGTTCTCGTTCTTTGTTTTGAATCTGAACTTGGAATTGAAGAGATTTTGAGGTAGTGCTCAATTTCCAGACTCTTCAGTTTTCTGGGCAACGAATTGCAATACCGTACAGGATTTAAGACGCCATTAGAAATATTTTCATGTCTCTGATTAGTATTTACAAAACGTCGGTTTTTTGGAAAAATTGATTGCGTTTGAATACAATTTTCGATTCGATCCTCCTCTGGCAAACTTGTGTCGGATTGATCTGGTGAATTTGTTGGAGTTTTACATCCAAGGATACTGAAAAAGTTTTATAATAAAGAGTGAACATAGCTGCCTATTATTTGCATCCCTACATGCCAAATTGGAGTTAGTCCTTCTAATCTAAGGAGTTACTGGGGTTAGATGTAGAATAGCTACAGAAGAAATATTTGGTTTTGACTGGTTTAGTTGTAGTCTGTTAGCTAACGATAACGTTTATCTTTAGCATGTTTTAAAAAATTATTGAATTTTATTGATTGGTGAAATACTGATGGTTTACGATTTTCTATATCTTTGCATACATTGTTTCCGAAGTTCACAAGCCACATGTAACACCTTGTGTAAATTAGGTACTTAATGTATCATTTAATTAACTTACTAGATATTAGGAAAAAAACGTTTCCATTCTGCTATTTCCTTCATATCGTACATTGCCGATTCATTTTCCACTCCTTTAAAAATCATATCGATCTTTTCCAATTCAAGTTGCACTTTTCTAGTTACTTCTGACTCGTATTCTTCGCTCCAACTTAGAGAACTGCCTGAGCTTAGGCCACTTAGTCTAAGACCTAAATCTGAAACCATTCCGTTTTATCGCAAAACATTTAGTTTGGTAATGAGTTCCACTATTACCATCTAATTCGCTGGCGCTGGTCGAAAATGTACTTATTGCTGTACCTAGCCCATCTTTCAACTCTTCACCCAAACAACTATCGAGTGCAGATTGTTGAAAATTTGAAAAGTCTATCCCTTCTGCAGCTGAAAAACTTTTGTGATAAGAAGTAATACTTCTACTCTTTAGTTTTCCAGTCATTTTATAGTTTAACTAATTGGCTAGTGGGTATTAATCTGAAAAGCAAAATAGTATAGATATGATAATAGAACTTTTGGCAAGTACGTGTCTGTAAGTGCGTAAAGGACAAAATAATGAATGCTAGAAACATTTATGAACATATTAGAAACATTGCTGAAATCAGTTTGTAACGGTCAGTGGTTGACTCTTTTTCAACAAAAACATTGTGTGAACCATTGCCACTTAAGCTCTCATTTCTTTCTGTAATACAATTTAAATAAAACTACTTTTTGGTTTTTTAAAAAACACATTTTTATTGATATTTGTTAACTAGTAATAGTATAAATAGTGTATGTGACCAACTGAGAAATTACTGACACCAGGAGATAACTGAAAAGCAACGTAAACAGCGATAAAGACAATTTTCCACGATTTTAAAGTAAATAGTCCGAAGTGCTTTGCTTTATTCAACGTACAATGAGTTTATGAATTATTAATTTCGAGCAGTCCTGTAAATCGTATATCCACAATTGCACGCCTAGCAAAAGTTTGTCGACATTGCCCTGTTTATCAATGATCATGAGGAGCTCACCAACATGGTCAAGAACCTAAAAGAAGCATCACAAGCAGTGGGGCTTCAGATGAACTTAGGTAAGATCAAGATCATGAGACCTAACACCCAATCCATCCTAGACAACAATAATATTGAAACAGTGGATGAATACGAGCACCTAGACCATACCATAAAATCCTTAAAATTAGGGAGCGAAAAACAAACTCTGGAGATTGCAAGAAGGGTGCGCCTTACCTGGGCAAAGCATGTATGGAATCCTCTCTCACATCCTAAGAAATCCTAAAACTCCAATTAATCTAAAGCGGAAGGTGTTCGAGAGCTGCATTCTACCGATTATGACGTATTACGACATTGACGTCGCTTTAGTCATAGACTCACTTTCTCACAAAAAAGTGCCAATCGCATGAGAGTGTGTCAGAGAGCCATCGAACGTTCAATGCTGAGTATTAGCATTAGGGACAGAATGAGTAACGCATTAGGAGAGGGACTTAGTCTCAGACGTCATGGAAATGGTGGTAAGGAATAAGTTGGAGACTGGCTGGACATATAGCGAGTCAAGTGGACCAAGGCCATGGCAACCTAGGGAAACAAAAATAAGGGTTGGGCGACCCTAGACGAGGTGGAGGGACCACATCCAGAGACACGCCGGAAAAAACTGGATCGACTACACTGGAGACAATTGGAAGAGGCCTACGTTCAGGAGTGGACGAGGATGGGCTAATAATGAATGAATGAACGATAAACATAAACAAACTTAATAATTCTTTTTTAATCAAATGAATCAAAACCACCACTTTTTGCAACCATGGTCATTACCCACAGCAAATCAGTCTTTCCACTTTTCACTCCATTGCATTTCAGTTAATTACTGTTAGGCGGGAAATTACTGTTAGGCACAACGTAACTAAAATCCTGTTGGTACTACTAAAAGTTGGTGTCTAACATGCGAACTAGGCGTTCGCGGAATGAAATAGTTCTGATCTGAGTCTGCACCCTTATCCTGTTCGTTATCGGTTCCATACTTGTCTAGAATCGATCCTAAATCTCTACCGCGATTAAAGCTCATGTAGGCGAAGATATGCGCGAGTTCAGTAGGCGAAGATATGCGCGAGTTCAGAAGTCGAAATGCCCACTGGCGGCTAAATATAGCTACTCTTTAACTAATAAAATTTGACTTATTTTGGTCCGATGTCTTTGTGATTTATTTTCTTTAATTCTCAGTGTCTTCAGCTTTTGCAAGCCGTTACACAAATAGATTCAAATTGAAAAGTCTGTAAGTATTGTTTTATGTTATAGACTCGAGGATATCAGGAAAGTATTACCAATCATTGATTTTTGCAGTTAACAATGACGAGTACTGATTACGTTTCTCAGCGCCCCTATCGGTTGTACGGGACAAGGTTCGGTTCGTTTGTCTAAACGCGGATTTCAGATGTGATTTGGAACAGGATACATACTTACCTATATATTTAAATCAAACATTATTTAAGAAACAACGGGTTTAATTGGGTTTTGATGTTACGCACATTTTATTATTTAGAGAAAAAATGTTACTACAATCCATTTACTACTTTTTATTTAAATTAATTTTATTGGTGTTTGTAGATACCTCGAAATCCTACATTTTCAATTACTTCTTCAGCTTTGAGTAACTTTTCTTTACATTTTAATGCCATTAAGTTTTAGTTGCAATGCTATTAGTTAATTTTGTAGATAGGTACTTATACATAGATACTTACTCAATGATACAGATAATATAGATCCTTGTCTTGGAGACAAAAATATTCGAACAAAATATATAAAAAAAATAATTTTGATCTGATTTTTTAAATATTAGATATTCTCAGGGCGCAATGCATTGTGTATGCTACAAATACCAGATTAAATACACAAAGTGTCCGGAAATGATATGTAAAACATTCAAGGGGTGATCCTACATCATGATACTAAAACTAACAAGATAAGCTCACTTGCCGAACGAATTTCGAAGAGAAGCGCGCATGACGTCACGGCGTGACAAGAATGGATGACGGCTATTAGCAAAGCTATTATGACGGTATAGCTAGATAAACTATGTATTCTATTTATGATTTGTCTATGGACGGATGATGATTTATCCGATTCATGATGATTTATCCAACTATTTTGATTATTCATTTCATGGAAACTGTAAGAATGGTTGATTTTGGAGTGTTAGTGAGTAGGTACTTTTAATAAAATAAAATTGCATGTCGTATAAGTTCCTTTATTTCATGAAATACAATTGATGTTAGTTATTTAACTATTTTGACCATTTTTCGCTTCCGTATTTTGGATACTTCTTTTAGCTGTCGGTTTAAAATTCTTATTTGAAAATATAGTTTGCACCGAAAGAAAAGGTTTTTGGAATCGACACTTAAATTAACATGTTCGGCACATTGCAATAAGTTTTTCAAATAGTTTTTTGTCCATTATATTTTATTAAAAAATATTCATTGGGCTTTTGTAATCCGCCTTCAGATAAATGCTTCACCCAAGAAAAATACATGTCAGTGGAATCTGAAATGTAACCAAGGTTTTCTTTGTTTCGCAATTTAAAAGCAATGAATCCGGCCAAATTTTCTAAACCATCCCAATGTAATTCGTAAGGGTTCTTGCTTTTTCGGTTGCTATTACTTGAACATCCCACCAATGCACAATGCACCATTGTAAAACACTGTTATTTAAGTGTTTTTTTTTTATCGAAATTAAGTTTGCCAGTGCAAGTAAGCACGTGCGAACGTATAACGAAGTATCTACGAATGCATATAGGTACTTCTCAGCCTCAGGCGCTCGGCCGTTTTTGTCACTCGGTGACGTCATATCGATGAGAGAGACAGAACACAATCGACGCGTGGGCTTATCTTGTTAGTTATAGTATCATGATCCTACATAACAAGACAAATTAATGACTCAAGTTCATATACTATTCTGCGAAATCTCAAAAATAACGGAGCTGCAGGGCCACAAACTTAGGTTCTCAAATTAATTTTTATTATATACATATTTTCGCTACTTGTTGACTGATTGTTTTCAAATTTACTCTACTCCTGCAAATATCGCTCAGATAAATGAAAAAACCATCCCCTGGTGAAGTAAAAAACTCAAACTTTTTAATATTCTATATTCTACTAATTTTCAATACCAAAAACGAAATAACCTTTCAAAACACCTATAAAATAAGTACATATTTGTTCCACCTCTCAAAAATAAGCCACTTTAGAGAAAAACGTATTTGACGAATAAATAGCAAGGTATAAATAACAGCTCCTTTACACGAAATTGGGTCATTTACCATATTAGACAAATACCGCATTCGAATGGAGCCGAACGAATTATTAAAAATTGTGCGGAAATTAGATATAAAGTGGGGATCTTTTTTAGTGCATTGTATCTTTCTAAGAAGATTTAGTAGATGCAAAGATGACAAACGTCACATAAAAAAAATGTTATGATTACAATTTGTTTTCAAGCTTTAATCCTTGCATTTGCTTTCAAATCACTCTTTGCGAAAATGTCTCAATTTCGTAGACATGAGCAGCTATTGATATTTTGCGATTACCTACTTATTCTTGAACGACGGTTGTCCCCAAAATTACAAATTTTTGAGAGATGGAAACCTTTCTTAGGCGTTTTTAAAGGTTTTTACATTTTGTCATAGTTAGCAAACAACAAAAATTAAAGTGTTTTCTTCACATCAATAGAGATTTGGGCTCTTGAGCATTAAGTGGTGAATATAAAATGTTCTTCATTCATACAATACAATATGTATTTGCAGGAAGCATTCCAAATATGAAAACAATCGAGGACCAAGCAAATTTTTTTTCTAAATGCAAGCCCTGCAGTTTCGCGATTTTTGTAATTTGATAAATCCCTAAATTACCTTTAGACATGATGTTTTCATTAAATTAATGATTGCAAATTAAAGACCGATAGCTTTGGATTATTTCGTTACTTAGGCAGTCTGAAATCTCAAAAGGCTAGCAAGAACCAAATAATAGAAGTCCTATGATGTCTGAGAAGATCAAAACAAATGAAACATCTAAAGCAAAACATGGGATTTATTTCAAAAAGAAAATTGACAATTCTGTAAATACCCGCATTAGGTAAATACGTTGCAAATTACACACTTGATAATGGAAAATGACTACCTAATATTACTATAATCGCCGAAATACGACTTGTCATTCAACTAGGTTGGTTTAGGGACAACTCAAAACAGTTGGAAATCTTCACCAAAGGCAATAGGTTTAAACCCTGATAGAACTTCTATTACTATTATAGCTCTATAGCTCTATAGTTTATTTCAAGAGACAACAACCAACAAATCTGTTCGACGAACTTTGAGTTAGACACCAATCATACAGTTGTAAATAACCTGTTATACTTTATTTCATTTATTTATTGCGAAAAAAAAATGAATTGTAAGTAAAACAAAATGCATTACCTTAGGTTCATAGTATCTCATACTAATGGAATTTACAGTAAGTATTCTTTCCACTAATTTCTTATTTAATTAAACTTTTTACATAACAATTTATGAACTAAACACACGGGAAATTGATTAGTAGTAGCAACGAATCAAAAGGACCTGTGTTGTTGATTTTTTTAATATTAAACAGCTGACGTTGACGTGCCACATAACAATCACAAAGCTATCAGCTGTTGCGTGGTTGTCATGTTGATAAATTGTTGTCCAGTGGATATACTTGGCAGCGTTCATAAACAGTCACTTATATAACGATTAGCTACACATAATCTGATGTTTAGTTGACAGAAAATTACTTGAACAACGTAAAAAGTAGGCAAAACATACTGAAATTACTTATGTAGAAAATAATGCGGGATATACATACTTTATTAATATACATTTTTAAGTGAGAATATTTTTCACCGACAGAGTTGGCAATACGTCCAAAATGCCAGTTTTCTACAAATTTGGTTCCTAAATATTTCCATTATTAGTTTCGTTGATCATACATTTTATACGATTGTTTTAGGGGCAATTTATAAACAAATCTATTATTCTCATATTGAACTTGCTCAGACGTTTAGAAATTGGACTATTGGCGTCACTGTTGAAAGTTGACAAACCAGTTGTAAGTTGTGACATCACACATCGTTATAGTGTCAATCTGGTTGGCTCTTTCACTTATTTTAGTTGAAATTCGCTAATACATTTTTAGAATTTTTCCGTTATATAGTTATTTTTGGTATGTATTGTGCATTCAACTGATGTATTTTTTAATTCGAATGTTTATTATGGCATAATTCCATTGTTCTGACGGTTTCTCGTTGTTTGAAGTGACGTTTTACATTGTCAGTGAATATAGACTGCATAATTGTTTTACAAAAAGCTAGTTGTCTCCGAAATAATTAATGCTTAAGCATTGAACCTTGGTCTCGCACTTTTGATACATGAAACTGACTAGTCACTGATTTAACTATAATCAGTTAGCAAATATATCCAACGTTGTATTAACTATCGCGTTTTAATTTACAGATCATCATGTTTATCTGGGACTGGTTTACTGGAGTTTTAGGCTATTTGGGTAAGTGCAAAGTAATCTAGAAATGGAACTGTCCTAACTATGCTTTGTTCATGTTCATCAGTCACTGAATACAATTTTAGTGGACATATTGTAGAACCTTAATTCACTAGAATTTGTTAATGAAATTATTCAAAATTTCTTATTTAATAAATTTAATCAACTTTTTGAAGGTTCAAATATTTCCTTAGCAATTTGGATTTTTCTTTCATTTCTGAACGGCAAACCCGTTTTAACAGAAATTATGCTATATGCTAATACTATAGGGCGTACGTAGATACTAATTACTATAGCAAAGATTAACTGGTTTGAAAAACAATAACTTCCGTCATGTAATTTAATCGATCTAGATAATATCTGCAAATAAGGTGAAATGTAATTGAGTAAACCATTCAAATAAAGAAAATTATAATTAAATTGGGTGACATTTCTTTAACTTTCGCTACAGACGTGAAACGTGCCTTAACAAATTATTGCCCAGGTTTCGTGTCCTATTTAGGACAACTGCTTTTCATAATTATTAATTATTTTGTCAGATGATCGCAAATTACTGAAGCTAAAAATATATGCTCAATCACTAAACCCTTTGGTCAGAAAACATTTAAATCTACAATTCTATTATGAAAGATCAAAGAATTCTTTAACTTTTAAGCTAATTTGATGTGAAATATACTCACATTTATATACTCCAAATATTAAAATTATATAATATCACTCAATCTCTACCCAAATCACTAGGTATCAAAAATAAATCACTGTGTGATATACATACTCATATTATTTATTATATGCTCAACAAATATTCAATCAAAATCATACTATTAATGTGGATAAAAATATTATTATTATAAATTGATGTAGGTAGATACATTCAGCTAAGATCAAAGGGTTACTTTGTGAGACACACAGTTTCATTGTTATTAAAACATTCACAATACATGCATGCATTAATAGACAGGGTGTCCCACGCATATATGCTTAACTCTAACTAAAAAACAATATAAATTTAAGTTCTCGCAACGATTCTGAATACTTTTTATGAATAAATTTTATTATAATAAATGACAAGCGCGTCATCAACACTGCCCAAATGACAAAATAGTCCGCAATTAGATTTTGCAGAGCCAAAAAAAAGTGTATTTTACTTTGACAAATCAGGTCCTACTTTGATACAAATTCTTTCAGGAAAAGTTGAAACAAAAAACTCTGTGAAAAACTAATGTTTGTTTAATTGAATCCCTCATTTTTCTATCAGGAGCGGGTTTTTTTACAGTTATTACATACTTAATAACATAAATATTCTGGTGCAGTATGGTAATTAATGAAAATGTTCCTTTAAAGCAATCAAATATGTTTTTTATTGAAAAATGTTTAAGTTGTTTGCAAGTTTAATGGTTGAAGTACTTCTTTTTGACGCAAAACACTATTTTGTTATTTAAAATAACCACGCTTGCCCATCATCATTCCGTAATTCTGTTGAAAGTTGTTCTCTTTCTAAATAAGAAAAGCATAAGATGACGAATTTGCAATATAATAAACATTTCAGGATTATAGTATTTTATCAAGTTTGTCATCTTAAGTTAGTTATTTTTAAACCTATTAACTAAAGTCGGTAAATGTTTCAAATGGGTCGAAGATTAAAGTTGAATTAAGAAAGAATTTTTTTTATTTACTATTATACAGGGTGATTCAAAATTGGCGTCATTCCTCTGGAGGTGTTGTCTGGCGCTGTTATAGGAGTACAGAAAAATAGTAAAAGAAATTAACTGTTATTAAAAACTGAGAAATTTGCAAAAAACTATATCAGAAATACGGCAGCAATGTATTTATATGTATTTTTTTTAAATTTATGTTATTGCATTAAAACAAAAAAATATTATTATTATTATACGGAACAACGGTTTCTTCTCAGAATTGGTCTCCTAAATGAATCAATAAACGGTGAAATATGAATGAATAAAATATCTTAGAATGATCGGCCATTAATTAAATTAATATGTTGCAGACCAAGTCAAATTATTGAGAAAACTAACATAGATTTTACATAACATTAGCGACTTGTATCAGTAAAGCTCTATTGTTAAAAGTGTTTTATAACCATCATATCTTGATTAACGGAAAAATGCAATTTTAAAGAGGATTATTACTTTAATTTAGCATTGTTCAAAATAAAATTACAATTACCCTGACAAGTGACTATTTTTGTGTCGATGTAGCAAAAAAAAGTTCAGATGCATAATAAATAACTGCAAATTATGTTTTAGAAAATGATACAATTTCATCCCAATGGACCCCATGTTTCTAAATAATGTTTGTTTGATTTTGCACTCGTATTAATCGCCCTAGACATTTAATTCTGGAAAGAAAGCAATTTGAAAAATAAACTAAAACATATTTTTAAATGCTCTTTTCCTTCCGTTACACGGACACGGTATATTTTGGCTTTGTATTACCTAATATTATATTTTTAATTTATGTTATTAACAATTGTCAATTTCCATTTATTGAATGAGTACTAAATGAAACAAAATAATTGTTTTCGTTGATTCATGCTGATTTTTTAGCAAAAGTAAAATGTTTAGATTTAAAGTGATGCAAAACTGGCAACAATTTAGACTTGGGGTTTGTTAATTTTAAGCAAAATCACAGTGACACATCAAGATAATGTTTTTAATTAAGAGATACAAATTAATTTAAATTTGCCATTTTACCGCTAAAATTACCCCCTATCTTTTCATTTCACATTTTCTAGAGTTGTATAACGAATTTTAATGTTTATATCCCGTACCATCCTTAACATCCAATAAATCATATGGCGATTGTATTTCCCAAATAATCGAAAATGATGTAGGCTTATTGAGCACGAAACGGAAATATGTATTTCTGGGACTGTCCCGTTCAGGAAAAGCGACGCTAATTAAGCAGTTGTTTGAGGAAAATGAAATCGATTTTGTGCCACATTCATTACAATCGACAGACATTGCAAATTTGTCACAAGACCCGTTAGGTAAGATATTTGTGGATTTTGTTAATCGTTTGCATGTGCGTCTAGGTTTGTGGAAGAAATCTGGCAAGCTTCTCTTCCTGGGTCTGGATAATGCGGGAAAAACTACACTGTTACATATGCTCAAGGACGATCGGCTAGCTCAGCATCTTCCCACACTTCACCCTAGTAAGACTAATACTTCTTTTTGTTTTGTTTTATTTCCAAGAATAATTACTTGTGAAGTTCATCGAATCATGTTTAAAATTGATATACATTGTGGAGTTGTTAATTTTTATAGGAGTTGCGATTTGATTGATAATAATGAAGTATAAATATTGAATTGTGTTTAATGCCGATTTGACTGAAATTTGCTTTATGCTAGTCGAAAATGATTCGAGGTGGACATTATCAAATCGCAATTTCTTCAGCACCTATTTTTCTATATACTACTACTTTTAATTTCATAAATATGTATAATGAATTTCGGGATGTTTGATGATTTTTAAATAATTCATAATTAGTTACTTTAAAGTATTTTAACTAGCTGATTTTTTTTCCATTTTAGCATCAGAGGAACTTTCTATTGGAAACATGAGATTCACAACTTTCGATTTAGGAGGCCATTTACAAGGTATGTTTCTTTGTTTTTTTTTTTTACTTTTCAAAAGTAACTTATCAAAGTATTAAAGATGCAGTTTAAGGAAGAAATGTTTGGGCTTGGGTCCACATAACAGATACAATTTTTTTATGCAAAATGCCTCCCTATACCGCGCGGTAATATTGAGAGTTGTCTAGATAAACCGCATATCTTTTAGGCTTCACTGACTTTATCGACGTACTGTTTTTAGCTATCAAATACATTTGTCTTCACAATATTGGCAGCAGGGTGGAGCTTCTCAGTGTGTTTTTTTATGTACAAACGTTTTTTTTTTCACCCATGTTGGTCATATGGCACAAATAAACGACTTCAAGGCGTTCGAAGTTACATCATGTAAAACACACAGTTATTTGTGGGCGATTGGAATAATACATCCAAAAGTAATGTAGAAAATGTATGTGAATAACTCATTTCACAATAGAAAAATACATTAAAAAAATAAGTTAATATTCTCAATCGCACCTCAACATTGCCCACGTTTGTGATCCGGACATGGACTCATCCATAAGCCGGATGTTATCTCCTTCTAGCCATTAGTTCGTTATTGAATCGAAATTTACCAAAAGTATGAAATACTCAGCTGGTTAAATATTTACTTAAAAATTATGACCCACGACTGAATTGTACAATACGAACATTATGAGAAATCTACTCACATTATCATTATACGGCCAATAAGTATTTAGTAAAATTTCAATAACTTATTCTCAGACAAGAATATATTGGGCCAATCAAATTTTTTATACCTACTCGTAACACTGCCTTAAAAATATTCTCCCTATGGTTCCTAAAACTTTGTAGCTTGTCTTCCCATATATTTGGCTTGCTATAAAGTGAAACGTCAATAAGTTGAGTTACTTTACTAGTTCCACCTCTGGTTCTTTATGTATTCAGATACTGTGAAATTATTCAGAGATTATATTATTATCTATAAAGTATTTTTATTAAAAAAAAAACAGAGAAACTGTGTCATAAGAACTCACCCGAAAACATGTACTTATATAATCATTTAGAACTGAGTACTTCAATAAAAACGGTATTTTTTGCAGCAAGAAGGGTGTGGAAAGATTATTTCCCAGCAGTTGATGCTATCGTGTTCCTAGTAGATGCAAGCGATCGGTCAAGATTCGTCGAAAGCAAACAAGAACTGGACTCTCTATTAACCGATGAAAGTTTAGCAAATTGCCCAGTGTTGATTTTAGGCAACAAGATCGATTTGCCCTCTGCCGCTTCAGAAGATGAACTTAGAAATTATTTTGCCCTGTTTGGACAGACAACGGGAAAGGTAAGTCAAACATTTGAATTATAAAAGTGGATACACGTGTGAGTAATTTTCAAGGGAAAAGTACCAAGAACAGACCTTCCTGGCCGTCCACTGGAATTATTCATGTGCTCGATTTTGAAAAGGCAAGGTTACGGCGAAGGGTTCCGCTGGTTGGCACAGTACATCGACTGAGTCACTAATATAATTTATTTGTCCCGTGAAATTTTTTTTTTGTTAAGAAGGAACGTGTCAAAATCTGATCGAACACCACACAAAAAAAATTCGGAACGTTATAGGTAATTATTTATTTAAAGCGTTTCTTTCCCATAAATTGTTTCCGTTTATTGTTAAAGCTTCCCCGTTGACTAGTCTTGTTGAAATAGTGTTAGGTAGCTAAACGATTTTATCTGTTTGTGCGGGGTGTTTATATAACTGGGTTTATACGATCATTTCAGCTCGCTTAGCCATATATTTGACTTTTTTGTTATCTATAATGTTTCTTAATCCTATGAAGGTTAAAAAAGTAATAGAAGCACACGTTCTGGTCTTCAACAGCGCTGCTTAAAATTTTAAATTGCTATTACATTTGTATGTAACGAGTTTTTGCAATTATTACTTGAGTAATTGCTGTTACCTTGTTGATAATTGGGGGAAGTCGACAACTGATATTACACATTCTTTTAAATATACTTGTACTTTTTTGATAATAAATTGTGTTCTCGTACCTTAGCAAAGTTTTTATCAATTTCCATTATAGTAATAGGTGCCATATCAGAAGTGGGGAATTCAGATTTCACCATTCGCACGTCCTAGTGACGCCGGAACTATTTTTGTCACTTCTGATTTAGATATTTTTTACTTTGTAATATTGCATTACATAAAGATGTCACTGTTCTTCAACTTCGTACAGGTCAAGTGATTCATAAAATGCTATTGCAACATTAGAGGATTAATATAAACTCGACAAAAATTATCCCCAGCTTTGTAATTTGATAAATGCTGAATAAATTTGAGTATTGTTAGCGACTTAATTTTCAGAAACAGCAACAGATTTGATCAAATAATTCGTACTCTTTACTTTTTTTTTTTTGTTTTTTTTGTTTGCCCGGCGGCTGGAGGAATAAAAATCTTCGCGAAGACACCCAGTGTTCCGAACCCTGGGTAGTGTTGGATTCTTACCAACTAAAAAACCCCCTTTTTGGTACTACGAGTTTTCGGGAGTTATCCTTTAAAACTTGTAGTCCTCTTTAAGAATTTGTCAGCTCCGGCATCCGTATACCATAGCATCGCATTCTCTCCATGCTAGCTGCTTGCTAGCATGGACATCTTATTAATTTACACCTTACTTCTATGTGCATGGTAATTGCTACCACAGATTACAGAGTACCGCTGTGATCTGCGATTACTACTATCACTACATAACCTCACTTACAGCTTACGCCGTTTGCTACCTGTTGCCCTATTGGGCTAGTTGGTGTCTGGGCCTTTTTTCCCTCCAGATCCCAGATTTTCAGGTGTGTAATTTACAAGATTTTGCAGCTCTTCGTTGGAGTGCCTTCCAGCTTTCTCGAAGTCTTCAGCCGCTTTCCTTGTGTGAAACTCTCTTAGTGGCTCCCACTCCAGGTCCCTGTAGATTTGGGAGTTTCTAACAAACCAGGGCGCATCTATGGCCATCCGCAGAAGTTTGTTT